CCATTCTCTGATCAGATCGGCTTGCAGTTAGTCAACACGATGTTAGCACCTCCGTTGTTATGGCAACCGGAGACCATTCTCCATCGCTCCGCTGCCGTGGTGCAGGAGGGGGCTTGGTGGGCACACATGGGTGGTGGGAACAATGCTGGGGGCGTTGCCATGCCCTGGGTGCTTCCAACACATACAGCCCAGGAGGTGCTGGGGGGAGGCTTGGTGGGGAAGTGATTGGCACGAAGAGAGCATCCTTAGGCTTGCACACATGGGCTCTTTCCAACTGCCCCTCATGAGAACACTTAGCAGGGGCTCCAAGTGGCTTTGTGAACTGTGGGACTAAGGAAAGCTGCTCGTTTGCTGCAAAAAGCACAGTCCCATGCACTTCTTATTTCTGGGTGTTACATCTGCAGGAGCAGAGCTACTGGTGCAGGGCTGGGGTCTCCCCATTCTTCTACATTGGGGTTGCAATGGCTCCCAGGCCGTGCAGCTGACACAGAGCATCTCCCAGGGATGTTTTGTTTCCCCCCTGTGCTGGCACTCGCTTTTCTGAAAGCGCCATGCAATTCATTGGGTGTTTTTTATTGAAACACATGTGCAAGCCATTTGAATTAGAGCAGCATGAATCTATTAGGCAGCGACAGATGCAAGTTTTGTGTCTCTTATTAGAAGGGATTGGATTCTGAGGTTTAGTGATGTGCAGAGGATTGGACTTTGGAGAGATTAAAATTATTTTCAGTGTTAAGCACAATATTTCTGAGCTAATGCACTCAGTCTTGAATATAGATTCACAGACCAAAAAGATTATAAAACATTAAACCTATGTAAATTCAGCTGTAAATTTATGTTTGAACGAATTCAACAAGAGATTTGACTTGGGGGCTTACAGCAAATAGGTTCTGCTTTTAATGCGCGCTGCAGCCCTCAGTAGCAATGCCGTTCTCCCCTTGAAAGTCCCACGCCTGCTGAATTACTGGCAGGTCACAGTTGACAGCTCAAGCAATTATACCAGAATGTGTTAATAATAAAATGGAAAATGACTTCATGTTTGTCTTTTGAAAGACAAAAGCAGATGTTTGCTCCGTGCAGAGGAGCTGCGGAGATGAGCTCCATGTGCAGGTGCTCCGTGGCAGCCCCTGGCCGTTGCCTGCTTCAGAGAGCATCATGCAGGTCCATGTCCTTCTCTGTGGTCCTCTGAGCCCTGGGTGCTGCCGTGAGCTTTTTCTCTCTTGTTGGGAACATGAAAATACCGCTAACAAAGACTCCTTTTGAGTGGGATTGCAGGAAACCTGCAACATCGTGCGCAAGCTGCCTACACAGAGATAAATGACAGCTGTGACTGAAGGAATAAACAAGATAATCTGGATTTAAATAAACCACAAGGGGATTTTGGCAACATGCAAATTCACAAATTTATAAAATGTATCCTTTGAAAATAAAGAGCTTTCTGAAGGCAGCAGTTAAGAACAATTACTGCAGCAGCCTTTTGCAAGGAGAGCTTACAGCTGCCCTTTGCCACCAACCATCAGGGACGGGGCAGCAAATGCACTTTGTGCCCGTCGCCACACAGCAGCCAGAGGATCTCTGGGAGGAGTGAGAGCAGCAGGTCCCTTATAGGGCTGTGGGGTGCTTGCCCTGTAACTTGCTGCCAGTGTACTGTCTGGAGCATTCTCGCTGCAGAGAGAAAGCTTAGAGGCTTTTTGTTGTTGTTGCTGTTGTTGGAACAGTTTATTGAAACTGTAATTTAAAGTAAGAGTGAAGTAAGTATAATACTAAGGCTCCCTCCTGGCTCCAGAGCAGAGGGAAGCAAAATCCTTGTTTACAGAACTGCCCATGAAGGGGTTTTGCCACAGTGTCGCATTGGTGGTGGGGGGGAGCTCTACTGCTGGCTGACACCCAGCGCCACAGGCAGCGGATGCTCCAGAATGACAGCGTGGGTGCAGGAGAGCAGCAGTGCTTCCTCTGAATTCAGATTAATTTTCATCTGTTGTAAAGCACTGTCATCTAAGAACCCACAAATAACAGTCGCATTCTGTAATACGAAGCAAACAAATCTAATGCTGGACCCTGCTGCCCAGGTAAATGTGGCAGCAGCTGCAGAGTGCTGCTGGTGTTGGAGCAAATGCAGTGCAGCTGCTGTCAGCAGCCCCTGCTTTCCAGCTGCACAGCATCAGCACAGGGTGCAGAGCCCAGCCAACTCTTGCTTCTCAGAGCTTTCAGTTCCAGCATCCACAGACATTTGCAGAACAGCATCTTGTCAGATAGGAGCCCAGATACCAAGATGTATTACTCTGAAACAATCATTTAGTGGTTGTGGCCGGACTGATTTGTGTTGTAGTGGAGATGCCAAGCGGCCGTGAGCGATGTGAAGCAGTGCTGGGAGCTCCCCAGGGCCCCACAGCTCCGTGCTGCGGAGCAGACTGGGGTGGCAGGGAGGGCTCTGCCCCTGCCACACCAGGGTCATACCAGGTGGTGGCAGAGGGCCCCTCGAGCACTATTGTCTGAGTGTACATCACTTACAGGCCAGCAGAGCTTTTAACATCTCATAATTGCCACATTTTGACATTTGACAGCCTGCTGCTTGCTGCCAGCGTGTCTGACTCAGAGGAGCCTACAGCAGCCAAGTCTGTCTGTGCAGGCCCCTCCGTATGCTCAGACAATTGCATAGGAAAACGCTTATCCTGTCTGAGAAAGCATAAACAAGTGTGCATGGGTCTTGAGTTAATGGAACACCACGGGGTAATGGTGTTCTCTACCTGTCTGGCAGTCCATTTGCACCATAGAAGGACTTCTGTGCGCTGCTACCTTCTATTAGTGACCAGTGCCAAGCCAGGGGACCCAGGAAGGACACCTCCCAGCAACTGCCTGGTGGTGGACCCCAGTTGCCCCCCGATCAGCTGTAGTTAATTTGCACTGTATACAGAACAGCCAGAAGCAGTGAGCTGTGGTTAACTTGTGATAGAATCAGTTAAAAAGGAAACACAGAGAGATTGCTAGCTGTACATGATGACAAAATAACTATTTTGTTGAGGAAGGAACAGAATAGCAACACATCAATTTTGGTAATTAATGGTTCAATAGAATTCTGTTGTTGGAACGCCCTGGACAAAGTCACAGGAAGAGTCTTTATTCCCTGGTTCCAGTTCTTCCCCTTGCTCCCCTCCCTGTTCCTGAGGCTGTTCCCAGCTCCCAGCTCAGTCCCAGCCATTCACTCCTGTGCCGTTTGGCTGCTGCTCCTCCTGCAGGTGTGGGCTCTTCTGGAAGTGCATTGGTCTGTCAGAGCAATATTATCTCCCTGGGCTGCAAACTGCTGCCAGGTACTGCTGACATGGCTGCCAGGTGCTGTCCTGAGGGCTGCAGACTGGAAGTAGCATCACACCAGAGCCGTTCTCCTTTCCTGCAGGGATGTTTGTGTGGGTGCTGGATCCCTTTAGGAATGCCACCCTCTGGTTCTGCAGCATCTCCAGTCTCCTGCTGCTGGCTTCATGTTAATCCCTTCTGGCTTTTCTTAGAGGAAAACATCTTGAGATGCATTGTTGCACAGCTGTGGTCGATGCCACTGCAGGGGCGGGGTGGGCTGGGATGAGGCACAGGGCAGCTGCTGGCATTCAGCAGGTACAGTCATGAGGCACAGTGACAGAAATATGTGTCTGGGCCTCGTCTGGCAGAAAGCTCTGCTTGGAGCCCTCAGCTGTGTAATTCCATGAACTGACTGCTTCCGAGTGCTCTGCTGCTTGACGTCAGCATCGCTGCGGTCGCTGGTGCCCAAGGTGCTCTCACTGAACCAGTCGCAGCCATTCACATTGTTTCCTCAGCATATGTTTGAACTAAAAATAGTGAGAATGCAATGGGATTATCCTGCAAGACCCTGAGCACCTCCTTCTGTGCTGCTGCCTCACACCTGCTCAGTGCTGCAGGATCCAGTGGGTCACACAGCCAGACTGTATTCCCCCCCCTCCCCCCCCCCCCCGCTTCACCCCCCCATCCCGCTGCATCCTCCCACCCTACTGCATCTCATGCCCAGCATCCCCATAAGGCAGAGGGTGCTCGGGACAAATTAGCAAACAGCACGTTAAACAAACTGCACTTGGTGTGGGTGTGCATATGTGCAAGTATTTCAAAAGGTTAAGAAAAAATATTGTTGGAGCACACTTAAAAAACAATCAGTCCTTGTGCTTGTGAAACCTTTAAGCCTACACGCCGTGGTACTGAATGCTCGCACAGTGAGACCGTGACAGCTGCCAGGGCTGGGAAGGGGATGCAGCACTCTTGCAGGGACATCGCTTCACGTCTTCTGCCTTGCTATGGGGGCAGCTGGGACAAGTATTTACCTCTTTGTTTTCTTAGATATAACTGCTATCTTGTTGCAGTTTCATTTTACAGTATGGTAATATGCTATCCAGGAAAGTCTTGCTACATGCTAATTTATCCGGTAGGCAAATTCCTTTTGGCTAATAAAAGTGCTTGCACAGGAAGCTCAAAACCCAGCAGCAATTAATTATTGACAGAGCATGTGAATTAGAGATAAAAGAAAAGTCATTCTTTCTCACACACAAGATAGTAAATAAATTTAATTATTGTACTAGAAGCAGGGGATCTTACTCTGTATTAAGTTTTATTAGCTGAGACATTTAAAAGCATGTCATCATAACAAAAAGGTCTTGTGTAATCCTAACTGCACCACTCTGGTACAAGGCTCTGAAGTGAATAGACTTAATTGAGCAAATGGAAGCAGATGGCTTGTTGAACAGACAGGTATTGTACAGGTTTATTGTCAATTAACTTTTGTCTACACATGCCTATGGCGAATTGACTGTATAATGTGTTACCAAGGCTAATTTAACACTTCGAGTGCCCACCATATCTGGGGTCCGAGGGAGGACAAAACCAGAAGCACTTTGGTCCCCAGGCTCATGAGTTGAGTGGTGTCCCCATCATCATGCATGGGGCAGGAGGAGCTGCCGGTGTCCGCCCTCAGTTACTAACCCCCTCCCTCTGCTTCTGCTCAGGGACGTGATGCCCAAGACGTTGGAAGGCCAGATCACCATGGAGAAAACCCCCAGCTACTTTGTGACCAACGAGGCCCCCAGGCGCATCCACTCCATGGCCAAGGACACCAAGCTGATCGTGGTAGTTCGCAACCCAGTCACCCGTGCCATCTCGGACTACACGCAGACGCTCTCCAAGAAGCCAGAGATCCCCACCTTTGAGGTGTTGGCCTTCAAGAACCGGACCCTGGGGCTGATTGACGCTTCCTGGAGCGCCATCCGCATCGGCATCTATGCGCTGCACCTGGAGAACTGGCTGCAGTACTTCCCCCTCTCCCAGATCCTCTTTGTCAGTGGTGAGAGGCTCATCACAGACCCAGCCGGGGAGATGGCCAAGGTCCAGGACTTCTTAGGCCTCAAGAGGATTGTGACAGAGAAACATTTTTATTTTAATAAAACCAAGGGGTTCCCCTGTCTAAAGAAGCCAGAGGACAGCAGTGCTCCTCGGTGCTTGGGCAAGTCCAAGGGTCGGACTCACCCCAAAATAGACCCTGACGTCATCCACAGACTGCGGAAGTTTTACAAACCATTCAATGTCATGTTTTACCAAATGACAGGCCAGGATTTCGAGTGGGAGCGGGAAGAAAGTGAGAAGTAACCAAGAAATCGGGAAGAGGGCTCTTTCCTTTTGAGATGTGAATCATCCTTAGAGACCCGGAACTCATGCAGGGCTGAAGGCTTGGGCTTGTAAGCACAACACTTGCGTGGTTGGGGCTGCAGCTGGAGGTGAACAGCATGGCCAGCTGTGAAACCTTGGTGATGTGTCACCTCTAGGGTGTTTGGCCTGGGCTCTATCCTCCTGAGGGATCAGGGAATGGGCAGGAAGAGAAGGTGTGGTGTGGGTCATGGGCACTTCGTGTCCACGTTCTGCTGCTGGCGTGTCCCTGTGCCACGCAGGCAGCAGCAGGAGGTGTGCAGAACCCAGCAGCACCACAAACCAGGAGGTCTGATTTCCCCTGCCCTGGCTTAAAGTTTTGCTCACGCAGCAGCATGAGATCTGGTGAATTCAGGCCGTGCATTCACAAGCACCTTGGCATTTGTATGTGGAAGGAATAAAGCCAGTTATGCTGCAAAGGAACTCTGTACAGAAACATAATTTGCACCAGATGTTCCAGTTACTTGTTGCACTAAAACTCGTATTTACCAAGTGCCACAAATCCTGGGCGCGATTCTCCTCTCACTGGTGACCGCTGCTCTACTGATGGAAGAGAACTGTTCTGATGTATGGGGAGAGAACCTTTCTAATTTATAGGGCTGCTCAGTGAGACCAGAATCGGGGCTTTCCCCCCACATCCCAAGGCCTCACTGCAGGTCTTGGGCACTGCCTGGGGGCCGGGCACTCTCCATGGGATCCCGGCCATGGGGACAGCTTTCCCACCGTGGCCCTGGGATTGTGGCTCATGTGCACCTCGTGGACCTGCTCCTGCTGCTGGCTGCTGCCAACGGGCTGTGCGAAGTCCTGAAGCAGCCTTTGTCTTCACTTCAAATCCGTTACAAAAAAGCAATTAATTCCCAGGGTGAGCACTGCTCCACAAACATATGTGTGTGTTCTAGTGGAAATGACCGAGTCGTACGCTCAGCCAAATTTGCAAATCCTGGTAGACGCTATGGAACAAACCCATATCTTAACTGAATCCTCAGCAGTGCACTGAGAGCTGCACGCTGGGACCGGCGGAGAGCAAGGCAGCAGCACTTGGAAACAGCTGCTGTTTTCCTGACCATTATCGAGAGAAAAACAGAAAGAGAGAAAGCAAAAAAAAGTGAAGAGCTATTGCTCCCCTTGTACGGGTGATTTCTAGCACAAGTGTTGCTCCTGTCCTCCTGTAGTACTGCGGCTGCTGCACAGCTGCCAGTGCCTCACGGGAGCAGCAGAGATGCACTGTGAGGTGGCTTTGGGAGGACCAGGACTCAGTTCTGATTATGGTGGGAAGAAAACCCCACTGATCCAACTAACCAAATGAAATCAGTGTTTCATTAGCTAAAAAGCTGAACCTGCTCTGGGTTTCATGGTCTGTCGTGTGGTTCATTACACTAAAGGCAGTGCTGGTGCCTTGGACCGGGAGAAGAAAGAGCTGGATTCATTCTGAAAATTGCACTGTGTAGGGGTACAGCACAGCTCTGTGCTGAGCAGCTCCCTACTGAAGTTACATCAGCTTCCATCGTTCTGGATTAGGTTTCAAAGCAGCTCCTGTCCTGGCATAACAGTTTTTTACTGATCCTCAGACCCCCAAATTATTGTGTGATAATTGGAAGTATGTAATAGGAATAACCTCATGGTGTGTCACATGCTGTTAAAATGTCATACCTTCTTCTGAGCGTGGGCTGCCCCAGTGCCACACAGTGTGAGTACTCAGCAGGAGGACAAGGTCTGGGGCACTGCATCACACATCTCCTCCGTGACAACACCTGGACTCTCCAGGAGACCCACACCCGCATCCTGCCACCCTCCTGGTCCACACTTTTTGCCATATTTGCAGAGTTTTATTTTTTATACCGGCTACAACCTCGAGCCCAAGGCTGGGAGCACACGTGGCACTGAGGGGTCGGGCTGTGGGGCTGTGCTCTGCTGACTGAGACGTGGCTGCTCTGTGCCCCAAACGCGTGCGTCTGCATCGCCAACGTGGAGCTTTGACAGAGGAGTTATTTGGCCAGAGAGCGGCCTGCCAAAAGAGAGAGTCAGGTTAATAATACCTTTTTAAAAAACCTATTCAAATGTCAGCATTACAATACACAGGAAATTGAATTTTGTATTTGATTTCAATTAGCAAAGCATAAATTATATTTAATTTTATACACAGACGGGTGATTCATTGTTCTGGAGGGCTGGTGCTGCATGGTGCAGAGACTGAAAACGGAGTGTTGTTGGTCTTTTCTGAACCCCAGTCACTGTGCTCTCACTGCCTCCCAAACGCGTCTCTGTCTGTCCGTGTCCCTCTGTACTGCACAGTGTGAACATCTCCAACCACACACTGGAACCCGCAGCACTAAACAATAAAACGGTGTAGCAGCTGCATTTCTGTGCTCTGTTCCTCCTCAGACCCACACTGAACCTGGGGGCACCCCAGCTGTGAACCCCCCCCAGTAAGCCAGGCCCCAGGACTGAACGCCCCTGCAGGTGTGGACCGCTCAGTGTTGAGCAGGCAGCAAAAAGCCCAGCTGCAGCCCTGCAGTGGGGTGTCCCTGTGGGCAGGGGGTGTTCCTGTGGATGTCCCTGCACTGGGGGCTGCCCCCCCTGCACACTCGCTGCTCTCCCTGCTCAGGAGGCATTGCCAAGGTCATGGGGCACGGATCCCTCGGCAGCATGTGGGTGGTTTCCCTCGATGCTGATGGAGGATAAAGCAGTTTGTAATGAAAGCAGGGAGAGGGCTGGCTGCCAGGCAAAGAAATTAGGGGGAAATTTTTTTCAATCCTATTTTGTGTGCACAATTTCCTGCTCGCTTGAAAAAAAAGGAGCTATTTTGCAGCACGGCCTTCTTGTGTCATCTGATAAAACCGCTAGAAAACTTTTATCAACAAAATTAGGAAGTAGTGAACTATAAAATTGCTAATTATTTTCTAGTAAATTTACTTTTAAATAACTTTAGACACCAATTACAGGCACCATTAGGCACCATTAACACTGGGTGTATTTACCAAACAACAGCGGAATGCTTATTATTCAAATCAAGACCATTTTGGTGCAGATTTTGCTGTTTGGAAAGCAGTCCCATCTCACCAGATGTTTAAAGAGTCATCAAAAACTCAATCACACCTGAGGGATGCTCAGATGCACAACACCTGGGCTGTGGGTGCACGCAGTCCAATCCTTGGGAGAACCTCTGTGTGACCGCTGCCGTGTCTCAGAGCTGCAGCTTCCTCTTCCCATGGGGAGAGGCTCTGGGTGAACCTATGCAGCTCTGCTAAGCATCGTGCAGCTCTGCTAAGCACCGTGCAGCTCTGCTAAGTGCCGTGCAGCTCTGCTAAGTGCCGGGCAGCTCTGCTAAGCCTTGCTCGCTGCAGGATCCCAGAGCCCCAAACCAGGCCAAGCGCAGTGCCCTGTAATTGCACGTTGCCAGGTGGCTGTCAGAGAGCTGGCTGCAGAGTTGCTACCTGCTCCCATTCCCTGCTGTTCTCTTTGACATCCTCATTATTTATTAACTGCCCTGTACCCAACAGGCTGCCACCGGTGCAGAGATGCTCTTATTATGCAGCTCTGCTGCTCTGCCTGCCGTCCAAGGTCACCTCCTCCAGGACGTCTCGCAAACCAGATTGAAGAGGTACCGGCAAAAATGCAACATGTTCTCTACATGTTGGTGCCAGGTTTCAAACAGAGCCCTTTGAATGAGGTAGCATATAAGATGATGATACAAGACCCTGTTACTGCTTTCCTCTATCCTGTGTGCAGCGCTGAGGCTTCTGCACCTACATCAGCAAGCAGAGAAAAACAGAGCATCGGGCAAGGGCTCCAGCCTTCAGCTTTCACATGCTGGAACAAAGAGCTGATCTCTAACACCAAGCCCAGGAAGACAGCAACACAAGGATCATTTTGATGGCCAAGCTGCAGATCCGTGATGACCTGCTCTAGCTGCCAGCACAACAGAACTGCTCCTTCTAGCCCCTGTCCCTGCCCCCCCAGCCTGGTACAGCACCACCACTGTGCCCAGTGCCTAAAGGTGCAACCCTTGGTCTCCCAGGCTGGCTCACCAAAGCAAAGCGATGCTCTCACTTCCCCTGCTTGGCACAGTGTTTTCTGCCACCCTCAGGTAGAAGACTTGAACTCAGAAGAAATTCTTTGATGATCACTTCACTGCAGCTCTGTACCAACAACAACGGGGATATTTTGGAAGGTTTAGGTGCTACACGAGGACTAATGGGCGCATAGATCTGAGCACTTCTCTTGTGCATTTAGGGTAGGGATAGAGCTGCTGGATCAGAAGGCTTCTACCCAGAAAGGTTTCCCTATAGATTAACAGGAATTCTGCTGTAACCCAGCAATGCACTGGGACATTGGAGCTCAGCACAGCTATAGCAAACACTGAGATGCCCTTGCTGCCCGCTGGGACCCAGAGTCCCACAGTCACTGCCCCCAAACTGGGCCTGGGAGGGGGATGAAATGGAACTGGGGACACCCAACACCACATTTTGCAGCTGAAGTCTTTATGTGCAGAGATGGATGGGAAGTTGAAGAAACAAATTAATATGGTAAGTAATGCTCTCCCTTTAGCAATAGCTTTCCGCTTGAAATAATGGCGTAATGTCTAACTTTCTCTCGCATACACATTTCCTCATAACAAACTTATATGACATGCAGCTATTTATATTTCAAGGCAAAAACCATGTAGTGTAATGGACTCTGTTCTGACTATTTGTCCGTAAAGAAATCTCACCGTTTCACGGGAAATAAGGAAAAACATTATACTCAGAGACAATTTCTTTCTGTTAAATCCTATCTTTACCTTTCTCCTTAGTTCTGCTTTAGAGGAGATGTCTGCAGGGCTCTGCTGCCTCTGCAGGAGTGTCTGCAGTCAGGACAGGAGCACTGTGCTGCTGCGTAGGGCTAAGGAGAAGGAAGCACTCAACTCTGCTCCTTGTCTCTCTCCTTCCACAAGATTAATAGCTGGAGTGGCAGGGACAGAGATTTGTCCTGTGCAGGGACTTGTCTCTATGGATGTTGCTCTCCACACCGCTCTGAGGCAGATCCTGCAAACATCAACATCACGCAGAAGAAATGAGCTTTTCTCCGGTGGTGACACACTGCTCAAAAGCACTGATCCAGATAACAAGAGAGATGTCTGTGTAATGAAGGCAAATGACACATCTGGCAATTTTCCACCCAACTGACAGAGATAAACAGTTATAAATATACCCCCATTAATGGGGTAAGCATCCTTCACTGCCTGTCTGGAGAGCCGCGGGGCCGCGGTGCAGCGACGCACGGTGCTGCGGCACCAGGTGCCACCGAGCGGCCGGAGCCACATCGCAGTGCTGATGGAGGCACAGCAGCGCCGGGTGGGACGAGGGGCTGCACAGCCACACGCACACGGGGCAGCGCGTCCAGGGCAGCGGGGCGGCCCTGCGGGTGCCTCACCCTCACCAGGAGATGCTCCCAGTGGCACCAGTGATGCTTGTGGTTCGCTGCTTAGAAGTTTGATTTGGCTCAAAAGTTCTTGGCACCCCCTGAGCCAACTGCAGTGGCTTTTTAG